AATGAATCGTGGATCAATACATCAAAAACTAATGATGTATTGTATGGTGACTAACATAATAAAATTTAAAAAAAAATAATAAAATAAATAGTGTCAATAAAAACACTTCACAAACTAGCAATAGAAGGAAACTACCTCAACATAATAATAGGAAAAGCCAATGGCTAACACGATACCCAGTAGTGAAAGACTGAAAGCTTTTCCTCTAAGATCAGCAACAAGGCAAGGATGGCCACTCTCACCACTTCTATTCAGCATAGCTTTGGAAATCCTAGTCAGAGCAATAGGCAAGAAAAAGAAAGAAAAAGCATCCAGATTTTTTTTTTAAGATTTTATTTATTTGACAGAGAGAGACACAGCGAGAGAGGGAACACAAGCAGGGGGAGAGGGAGAGGGAGAAGCAGACTCCCCGCTGAGCAGGGAGCCCGATGTGGGGCTCGATCCCAGGACCCTGGAATCATGACCTGAGCCAAAGGCAGATGCTTAACGACTAAGCCACCCAGGCGCCCCAAAAAGTATCCAGATTTTTAAAAGGAGAAGTAAAATTATCTCTGTTCATAGAATAAAATACTTAGGGAAAAAAAAGAGTAAAATACTTAGGAATAAACTTAACCAAGGAGGTGACAGACTTGTATGCTGAAAGCTACAAAACACTGCTGAAAGACATTAAATAAGACACAAATAGGTGGAAAGACATCCCATGTTCATGGATTGGAAGACTTAATATTGTCAAGATGTCAATACCACCCAAAGCAATCTACAGATTCAATGCATTCTTATCAAAAGCATTTTTTGGAGAAATAAAAAAGTCCATCCTAAAATTCATATGGAGCTTCAAGGGACCTTGAACATCCAAAATAATTTTGTAAAAGAACAAAATTAGAAGACTGACATTTTCTGATTTCTGAACATATTACAAAGCTACAGTAATCAACACAGTATGGCACAAACATAGATACATACACTAATGGAATAGAATAGAGAGCCACAAAACAAAACCTCACATATTTGGTCAAACGATCTTTGCAAGGCTGCCAAGATGATTTGGTGGGGAAAGGAAGTCTCTTCAACAAATGATGTTGGGAAAACTGGATATTCACATGCAAAAAATGAAGTTGGACCCTTATCTGACACCATATACAAAAATTAACTCACAGTGGATTAAAGACCCAAATGTAAGACTCAAAACTATAAAGGTCCTAGAAGAAAACATGGAGGAAATGCTTCATAACAATGGATTTGGCAATTTCTTGGGTGTGACATCAAAAGCACAGGCCACAAAAGCACAAACAGACAAATGGGATGACATCAAACTTAAAAACTTTTGTGTATCAAAGGATACATTCAACAGAGTTGCAAAGACAACCTACAGAATGGGGAAAATATTTGCAAACTGTATATGGGATAAGAGGTTAATATTCGGAATATATAAAGAGCTCCTAAAACTCAACAACAAAAATAAAATATCCTGATTAGAAAACGGGCAAAGGACTTGAACAGCTATTCCTCCAAAGACGATATACAAACAGCCAACAAGCATATGAAAAGATGCTCAACACCACTAATTGTAAAAGAAACAAATCAAAATCACAATGAGCTATCACCTCACACCCCTAAGGATGGCTACTATCAAAAAACAAAAACAAAAACAACAACAAAGAAAATAACAAGTGTTGGCAAGGATGTCGAAAAACTAGAACCCCTGTGCTGTGTTGGTGAGATTGTAAAATGGTGTGACTGCTACAGAAAATAGCATAATGGTTCCTCAAAATACTTAAAGTAGATCCACTATATAATCTAGCAACCCCACTACTGAGTGTATACCAAGAATTGAAAGCAGGGTCTCAAAGAGATATCTGCACACCATGTCCCTAGCAGCATTACTCACAATAACCAAGAGATGGAAGCAACCAAAATGTCCATTGACAGACAGTGGCTAAACAAAATGTATATATATACATGATGGAGTATTATTCTGCCTTAAAAAGGAAGGAATTCCTGTCACATGCTAGGACATGGATAAACCTTGAGGACATTATGCTAGTTACAGGGCGCCTGGGTGGCTCAGTCAGTTAAGTGTCCAACTCTTGGTTTCGGCTCAGGTTGTGATCTCAGGGTCATGGGATAATGCCATGTGTTGGGCTTCATGCTCAGTGCAGAGTCTGCTAAAGTTTCTCTCTCCCTCTCTCTCTCTGCCCCTCCCTCCCTGCGTTCTAGCTCGCTCTCTCTAAAATAAATAAATCTTAAAAAAAAAAAAAAAGCTTGTTACAAAAGGATAAATACTATAGGATTCTACTTATATGAGTTATCTAAAATAGTCAAATTCATAGAAACAGAAAGTAGAATGGTGGTTGCCAGGGGCTGGGAAGAAGAGGAAATGGGGAGTTGTTGCTTGATGTGTATAGTTTCAGTTCTAATGATGAATAAGTTCTGGAGATCTGTTCCACAATGATGTGTACGTACTTAACACTACTGAGCCATGCACTTAAAAACTGTTAAGATGGTAAATTTTAGTAATGTGCTTTTTACTATAATTTAAAAAAAAATGTTTAAGTGTCTATGATACATTAAATGTCATTCCATACAAAGCTATCTTATTCTTTTAAGCAGCTGCATAATATTTGGGGACATGGATTTAGCACCATTTATTTAAACAGTTTTCTACTGATGGACACTGAGGTCATTTACACCTTTTTACTATTACAAATAGTGCTGCAATTCATCTCTTTGTATATACATCTTTGCACACTAGTTTTAAGAATTCAACTTATAGAAACACTTACAGAGAAGCTAAATTAAAGAGCATGCACACTCTGTAATTCAACAGATCTTACTGGATCTTTTTCAGGGAAAAAAAAAAAGGGAGCTGTAGTGATCTATCCTCCCATCAAGAGCATGAGTTCTGAGTCAGAAAGAGAACTAAGGAAGAAGCATATTGCACGGTAGAAACGAAAGAATGAGTAGCAATAAAGAAATTAATCTATCTTTTTACATTAAAGCAGTGTTTCTGCTTTCCGATGCAATTTCCAAAACTATAGTAGACGGAAAGCTACACGTAAGTGGAGCAGAAGTAGAAAATGCTGACCTGTAGGTTCTGTGTCGGAAGGTTTCCCTGGTGTCTGATTTTCTGTCACCTTTTCTGTTACTGGAAGCGATGGGGTGTTTGAAACAGCTGGATGTTTTCTGAGGGGAGTGTTCTGACAGTGAATTTCCTACAAAAAGCAAATGAAGATGTTATTTCTCAAAACTATAGATTTTTTTTTCTTTTTGCGTGTTATTAAATGAAACAAACACAAGTCATTATTCTATATAAGCTTCCTCAGAACAAAATAATGTATGTGAAAGATCCCAGCTATGTTTAGAACACAAGAAGCCCTCGGTGCGGGTTCAGTATTCTCAGTAATTCCCAGAATGTACTTTAAGAGACTAGGAGGCAAGAAGGAAAATTCCCATCAGAGTAGTTTTAGATAAACCGATTAAAGTGAAAGCCACACACAGAGAAAAGCAATTCCCCTGGGCCACTTATCTCATCCCACACCTATAAAATCTACTGACAGTTCCTACATCAAGATTCCCCTTAACATTTACTCAGTAGGTAAAAGGCAAAGAAAACAAAGAACAAAAACAGAATGTGGAAAAAAAAGGAAAGGAAAAAAAAATCCCTCATCTGAGTCTTTATCATTGACAAGGCCATGGAAGAGAAACATTCATTGTTTTTGAAAAGGCTCTATGATTAAAGCAACAGTAGAAATAATCAAATAAGAGTAAGAATAACAGCAACTAATGCTTAATAGAGCCTAATATGCGCCAGTCATTTTTCAAAGCCCTTGACATTATTGCCTCCCCAGTCCTCCCAATAACCCTGTAAGTTAGGTGCTATTACTTCCATTTTACCGATGAAAAGATTGAGACACAGAGGAGTTAAGTGACTTGTACACTTGGCCAGTAACTGGCAGGGCCAGTTTACAAACCCACATATTCTCATTCCAGAGCAAGTTCCAGACTATTTTGACTCTCAAGTCAGAAGGAGCTTTTGATGCATGAACACAGAGTAAACTATCGAATGCTGTGCTGCAGACCCGAATCTCCTGTGAAGGCAGGACTTACCTACAATCTTCTGTATACAGGTGGTTCTCTCCCCTTTCTCTCCCCTACACCCTGACAACATGAGGGACAGCCCCTCCCAGGTGTCTAACAATAGTTCCACGCTCTTAGTAATTCTCTCCTGCTCGCGCCATCCCCACTTCACCAGTCCAAGACCTGCCATCATCTGGGTGGTATGGGTAGCCGCAAGTACCTTCTAGCCAACATCCTGGCCCTCAGTTGCATAAATGTTTCAGCTGCAAAGACCTTCACCACCACTCCAATTCAGCCATCCCCTGGAGTCAGCTTCTTCCCTGAAACCCTCCAATCTCTCTAGCTTTCTTACTCAGGAATTTCTACCAGATCCTGTTCTTTGGCCTCATGAGAACTTCTGGTCGTTTGATGCTTTTCTTCCTGTCACCCCTGCCTATTTTCTTATGCCTCTATCCAGGTTAGATCTCATGACCCTTCAGTTCAACCACGATCTCACCAATACCTTCAACTCCCTCACCTCAACTGTACTTCCACTCCTCATGTCTAGCAAACCCTATCCCTGGAACCACCCACCTTCTCCATGTTTATATCCAGGCTCTTTGGACATATCTAGAGGAAAAACTCACAACTGAGTTTGATCCCATTAGGAATGTATGCTCTCATACCCCACCTGAGTCTCAACACTACTCCTTAGTCCTTCTCTTTCCGGGTCAGCTCTCTCTCCCATCCTCCAGTGTATCACACCTGTCATCTCCCCTTCCCTAAGGATGAACAAAACAGACGTAACCAGACAGAAATTCTACCAGTTTGCTGTCACCATAGTTCTAAAACCACCTGCCGCCAAACATATTGCTTTCCTTCTTCCTTATCACACCTGGAACCTGTCCTAATCCTTTCCCTTCATGGTGCTCTGGAGTTCATCCAATCCACTCTTACCTCTTGAAAGGTTTACCCCAACCTATCAGTATCACTTAACCCTCTATCATAAAACTCTTAATTTTTTTTTTTAAGATTTTATTTATTTATTTATTTAGAGTGTATGCACAGGCACAAGCAGGGAGACACAGGGAAACAGAGAATTCCAAACAGGTCCACGCTCAGCATGGAGCCCAGCGTGGGGCTGGATCCCATGACCCCAAGGTCACCTGAGTCAAAATCAAGTCGGATGCTTAACTGGCTCAGCCACCCAAGTGCCCTATAAGCCTCTTACTTTTGACATTAAAATTGACTTAGGTCTCCTCAGAAAGAACAAAACAAACACAAACACAAACCCTACTTCACTTCCTCATCCCCTTCCAGCTATCACCTCCTTTCTCCCTTCCCTTTTAGAACCAAACTTCTGAGGACTGCCTCTGCTCTCCCGCCCTGCTCCTCACTCACCACTACCTCTATTCTCCCCTCACCACTTCACTTGGCTCTTGCCAAGTAACAACTAGCTCTTTCTTCCAAAACCCAGTGGTCTCGGACCAGTCCACATTTGACAACACATACTTGACAATATCAACCATCCCTTCCTTCTGAAAGGTTCTTTCTTCCTTTGACTCTAGTTAACACCACACTCAGTTACTTTTTCCTCCCACCTCTTTGCTTCCTCGGTGGGTACCATAGATGAGTTCTGAGTGAGGCAGACTCCTGAACCTGCTGTTATTGTGTTCAGAATGTTCTTTACATGCAATGTGCAATCATCCAGGGAGGAATTCCAAAGGTTTAGCAGGAATTATTTAGCACAAAATAGTTTAAGAACTGCTGTCCTGTATTTCCAGGATGTAGCAGAAAAGCCATGAAATGATATACTGGTAACCTAGTGAAGAAGGTGCTTCAAACAGAAGAGAGTAATCAACAATGCCAAATGCTGCTAATAGGTCAAGTTAAATGCCTAAAAATTGATTACTCAAGATCCCTGGTGAATTCGATAAGGAGGTAGTGGGGACAGCCTGAGTGGAGAGATCCAGAGAGAAGGGACGGAAAAAAATGTAAGCGTAAGAGATAACTCTTTTGGAAGAGTCTTAATGAAAAGGAGGTAAAGAAAGGGAGGGGAATAGGGGGTCCAGAGAGTTGTTTTCATTTTAAGATGACAGATAACAGCTTGCTGTATGCTGATGGGAAGGATTAGCACATTCATTCCTTCCTTCAAGGACAAATTTATTGAGCTCCTCCCGTGAGCCAACCACTAAGAACACAAATAAAGACAGATAAGGCTCTCGTAGACAGTGGTGGAAAGCAAAGGTGAAACAGTTACAGGAAGATAAATACTCCAGCTGAGGTAAAGAACAGGATGACATGGTGAAAAAAAGAGGGGCCCCTGAGGAAAAGGGCCAGGCAAGGATTTCCAGAGGGGATTAAAGTTTGACCTATTCCTAATGAAGGAGGAGCTCACCACGGAGATACTCCTTGCAGAGAGAAATAGCAAGGCAAAGACAAAGAGATCTGAAAACATGGGTCCATTTGAGAAAGTGCAAATAGTCTGCATGACTGCACTGATGCACACATGTGGAGGAGCAGTGAGAAGCCAGATTCTGGATGATTCTAGATGGCAAGCCAAGCACTTTAGACAGTTTTCTGATGCTGGCTATGGAAAGCTTTCTAAGGACTTTAAGCAAGTGAATACACAGATCTCTGCCTTTTAAAAATATTTCTCTGGCAGCAGTGGGTAAGATGGACGGGACAGTAGCCAGACTAGAAGCAAGGTTTTCAATACAAAGCTCTGGAAGTGATTAAGGTAACGGTGGAGGAAAACAGAGAGGACAGGCAGCTTGAGGTGTACTGGCTGTGTATGTGTTCATGTGTGTGTGCTAGGGGAAGACGCAGTAATAAGAGGAAGGAGGCAAGGAAGAACTCCCAGACTGTTTTAGATGGTGAGGTATAGAATGAAGCCCTAAGTGAAGACAGGAAACATGGAGAATATACTACTGCTAAGCGCAGAGAGCTCTACCAGCCAACCAGGCCTGGAGTTCAGGAGAGAGGTGAACACTGCACAGTCAAGCACATTAGCATTTCTGTGATGACAGAGAAGAGATGTCCCAGGGCAAATGAGAAGAAAACAGGGTTAGGTCAGAACCCTGGAAAACACAATTTGTTAAGCAAGAGAACTGATAAAAACCAAAATCAATTAAATAGGTCTTTCTCAGAGAATACTGGTTAAATGTATTTTTCTATTTCTACTGGTACCCACTTTAAATATAATTCTATTATTTTTAACTTAAAAGTATATCCTAATACAGTATTTTGTACATAGTAGGCATGTAAATGAAACAAAGTAGTTTACAAGTAGGGACTTTGTTGAAGGCTGATTAATGCAATTTGACAGTAAGTAATAGAGGAATAAAGAGAAATCTGGGACATATTTGATGATCTGAAAGGATTATGGAGTGGCATCTAGGGAGAGTCTACCATCATTAATCAAAAAAGTAGATTCTGAGAAACATTTTAGAACTAGCAACTAACTAGAATATTAAAAGAAATATGAAATCAATTGAATAATGAGAACACGTTTTAAAATTTTGATTTTAAGTAGGTCATTACTGAATACGTTAAAAAGAAAGTATCACAAGAGAAAAAGCAGAGTCGGTATGACCATTGAAGGGGTTTATGACTAGGAAATGGCAGTTAATAGGAACAGGATAAAAAACTGTTTGACAAGGCAGGACCACAAGTTAGACCCCAGCACTACATGTGGTTCACTTTCATTTTTCTTGTTCACACTACCTGTTTGGTTTCTAGTTGTTTGCTTCTTGAGGTTTCACCTTTTTCTGCACTCCATAAATTACCCTTGTCAAATCGGCCACGAAGACATGCTAGTTCTTTCTCACGTTCCTAAAACCACCAAAAGCGCTATTTTATACAAGAGCCAATAGTATGTTTAAGAATAATATTCAGATACTACTAAATTTTGCTTGTCTTCAGCCTTAAGATTAAAAAATTCATGATATGCACGGAACACAAGACAATATTTTTAATTTGAAATAAGTGATACAGGGAACCAAGATGCTATTTATCTCTGTCAAAAAGACTGGTATTGGAATTCACGATTTGATTTCTAGATTCTATGCCGAGACCATGTAATGAATAATGTTAAAAGCAGTAAGCCAGACCTGCTTGAGCTGTTGTGCTAAATGAGTAGTAGATGAAGATGTGTTTTGCTTGAATAATCTTTCTTGGATGGCCCTTGTATTTGGAGTGATAACGGGGGTCCTATGGGGTGTGCTCCGAGCGGGACTTTGTTTGCTATGTTCTTGACAACGTTCTCCAAAGCGTTCCAGGAAAGGCTTAATTCCTGCTCCCCCTACAGAAAGCACACACATTTTGGAGCCTATTTAGAATAAGTAGCAATTATAATTTGTATTGAAAAAGTTCTAAAATCCAGCATGGCTCTAAAATGCTTTGATTCCACTTAAACTACTCATTCAGAAAGTAAACAGTATGAAAACAGCTTTTAAAAAGAAATTTACCATATTATTCTATTTAATTCCATGTCTTAAAATTCATTTATTGGATTTAGTTCTTTAAAGAAAGAAGAGGAGGAATTTTTAAAAGATAGCGTTAGAGGACAGTGGAAATTAGAAAACCCTTCAACTAAATAAGCAGAACCTAAATGACTGGAAATTGACTGTATGTGTATTAACAGTATTCCCTAATCACCAAAGTATTCTAGCCATGATAACCCAACTACTTATATTTCTACAGCCCAATTTATTTTATCTTGTTTTTAGGAAGCCCAATATGAAATCCAAGGATTAAATCCTTTTCTCTCTCAAAAGAAAAATTACAGATTATTGACTTTATCAAGGGATAACTTGGTTCTACAGTCTTAAAACAGTATTCATTTGAAATAGTATGAGGTACACTTCAAGTAGAACAAATGGGATGATAGCATTGTACTATTATAGTAAAAGAGGTTTATATTTATCAGAAATCAGCATTTTCCTACAAAAGGCCAGAGAGTAAATATTTTGGGCTTTGCAGGCCATGTGACCACTGTCATAATTACTCAACTCTGCATTGAAGCATGAAAGCAGCCATAGACAACGTGTAAATAAATGGGCATGGCTGTGTTCCAATAAAACTTTATTTGCAAAAACAGGTAAAGGGCACAATTTGACCCATAGGCATAGTTTGAAGACTCCACATGTCACTTCATACCATATTTCAAACTGGAATGCATTAAGAATACAAAGAAACATATAAATTAAATACCTCTGAGGCCCTGATAACATTTACTGGGCATAGCCAATAGCCAAGAATTAAAAAAAAAAAAGAAAAAAAAGGCTTCTTTATCTATGCCCTAAGTCTTTGGAAAATTGAGAGTAACTAGTCCTAGTCCATGCGGGGATTCTGCAATTGTTTCCAGCTCATTTCTCATTTCGGCTATCTGGAAACTGACTGCTGGCTTCCTAGCCCATAACTAATGGATTCCCACTCTCATCTCTCTGTCTACTTCTCTCTTATGAGGAACTACAGTATTCAGAGAGATTATATTTTTAAGAAGTTAAAATTTTGAATTAAAAATCCTTCCAAAAGCAATTCTATTGAAAACAGAATATAGTTCAAAGTGAACTATATCTGTATATTTGAACCATATTTTTTAATCCCATGTTTCTCAACCAACAGCATGTGAGGGTATGCCAGGTGTAAATCCTCACAAAATGAATACAGATTTCCAGGAGCATCAATTTACTACAGGGAGTAATTTTTAACTTTCACATGTCTATACTCACACACAATATACACATATACAAATATAATTGGGAATGGAATCATTTGTATACACATTCACTTTCCTTTGTTATTAGGGGTGCCTTCATATTGAAGTTTGAAAAGCCTTGCTCTGCATACTTGGTTACAAGAATGTTTCTCCATTATGCCCTTAAAATGTGATTTCCAGTGGTATATGCTTCGTCTCCATCAAAAAGTATAGAAGAAAGTATCTACCATGGTCATTCTAGAAAAAACCCATGTTTAAACTGTCAAAATGTAACAAGTTACGTACCTTGACCAGTAAATGGGCAAAGTCCCCACTAATGAATATTCATTCAATAAATTAAAGCTAAATTTGAAGAAGTCTCATCTTATACATTCAGGCACTTGCCATGGCAAACCAACACTGTACAATTCACAACTGGATATTTAAAATGCTGAGAACAGACACCCTGAAAATAGTCAGCACTAACTAGATTTTTTAAAAGATACATAACCTGATGTTGCAGATTTGTCTTTAGATTGAGACTGCCGACAAATTTCTCTATTTAATTCTTCTTTGGGACGAACTGTCTGGGACACAGTTGACTTCTCAATTGGTTTCGATACCTCTGTTTTCAGGGGACTTACAGGAGTTTTCTGAAGTAGCTCAGGATTTTGTCCCTCACAATTTTTAGCATCAGTAATGGATATAGTAGAAGATTTCACTGGGGAAGAAGCAGCTTTCTGAAACACGATAACACTTAGGGTAAATAACAATATTCACGATATCTAACGGTAGTCTTCTAACAAAACAAGTTTAATTCTATTTGCTTAGTAGCCTTTATGTAAACTTATGAAAAAAAATTTCTTTTTCTCTAATTGATCAAACCAATTTGAAAGGTTTGATAAAAAGTCAACTTAGAAAATGTTATTATTTAGGGGCGCCTGGATGGCTCAGTCAGTTAAGTGTCTGCCTTCAGCTCAGGTCATGCTCTCAGGGCCCTGGGATCGAGCCCCGCATTGGGCTCCCTGCTCAGCGGGGAGTCTGCTTTTCCCTCAGCCTCTGCCTCTATTCCTCCCCCACTTGTGCTCTCTCTCTCTCTCCCTCAAATAAATAAATAAAATCTTAAAAAAGAAAATGCTATTATTCAAATTATGTAGTTTAGCATGTAAAATACACTGAGGAGTAATTTCATATAAGGGGTAGGGTCACTCCCTATTTTAAATAACAATTCCTTTCAGATTATCTAACTAGCACCTTTATAAATTTTAACTGTATGAGACCACATTGCATAATTTTTGTATTTTAATTAAGTCAATATTAATTTAACAAAATCATATCATGTACTTGATGGCTAATTATAACATATTATTAAGTGCTATGTGCCAAGCACTTTGCTAAAGGTTTCATGCACATTATCTCATTTAATCCTCCCAATAACCCCTTCTTTCCCATTTTACAGATGGGAAAATAAGGTTTTGCAAGATTAAGTAACTTGTCCAAAGCTACATTTTTAATTATGTGGCAGAGCTAGAATTGAATGCAGGTCTATCTAATTCCAAAACCTGGCTCCACATTTAAAAACAATGCTCAGAAACATAATACCTTCCTTTTTTTTTTTTTTTTTAAGATTGGTTTTGAAAGTTGATGACATAATTCATGTACAAGGTAAAACTTTCAAACATTTCAAAAGGATATATGGTAAAATTATCATAACCACCCTTAAAAATCCTGTTCAGCAATTTGCCTTTTGAAGGCAACTTTAGCTACTAGTTTATTACATGTCTTTTCAGAGAAATTCTACATCTTATATTTATACACATATATAAAGCACTCTACAGGGCAAGTGATGTTCAGCGCTCTCCCTGATGCCATCATTCCATTATACACCTTGAAATTGTATGAAATTAGTATAATTTACTTGTCAACTCCTAATTTATCTTAGGATAGGCTACCAAATTTATGACTTTTACTTTCTATGACACCAATTTCTAAAAATACATATAAACACACCACGTATAGGTTATAAAATACTACACATACATATACATTACTACTCATAAGGAAAAAAAAAAGATTTCCAAAGACCAATACTGCATTGCTTACCACAGAGCTGGAGATTGCAGCATTATTCAAAGATACACCCACAGCACTCGAGGATGGAGCTTTATTCAGAGAGGCCTCGCCATCCCTTTGGGAACAGCATGTAGCTTCCCGCTTAACACTGCTGCTATTGATCCTAGCAGATGCTCCACTTGCAGAGGAAAACTTGGATAAACAAGTGGTACCAGGCTGTTCTTGTGCACTGTTTTGCTTTGCAGATGAGTAATTTACATCATCTTCCCACGAGCAGATAGTTGCAGCAAGGTTGGCCAGACGGCCCCTTCTACCAACTGGAGTTGCCGAGGCATCCGAGAGGGCTGGTTTGGGAGGGGAGGTAGCCCTTTCCTCTGACGGCACTGGTGAGATGGGTGAGCTTTCGGGTATATCATCTGGAAATGTTTTCAGAAAAAGAGTTAAAACCTGTGTTCAAGAGTTATGCATATGTGTAATACCAAGATGGCTCCAATCAGAACTTTTAAAAGAAGTTGGTAGGTTTAAGAACTAATAAAAAAGCTCTCGAATGCATGAAACTACCAAGCTGCTTAAATTTGACAATATCTTTTCAAAACAGATGATACTTGATCCAAATTAGAAAAAAAAAACAAACGCACAAACTTCTTACACCTATTTTTTCCAATTTTTAATGCATTATGAATGCTTAGGTCATAATTTTAGAATTAATTTAGAATTCATGATGTTACAACACTGCACAATTTAAGATTACATATTCCACAGGCATGTTTTGTTTTAAAATGGAGAAGACCAATGCTATACAATAGAACTTCCTGCACTGATGGACAGGTTCTATATCCATGCTATCCAGGACAGTAACCACTAGCCACATGTGGCTCATGAGCACTTGAAATGTGGCTAGGGCAACTAAGAAACGTCATTTCAATTCCTTTCAATTAATTTAAATCTTAAAAGCTATATATGGCTAGTGTCTACAGTATTGGATAGCACAGGGTTAGACAAAAATGTTTTCCCGTAGCTACTTCGTGTGGAGATAGATCTCGAATAGTAATACTTAACTTACGAAGGCCTGTAGGCATAAAGCACGTAGAGGGAAGTCAAAATTCACAGCACCTTCTACTGCACAAATTCAGTCAATGGAAGAGGTATCCCTCCTACTGTCCAAGCCTTATACTTCTGCCTGAATTCTCAATTCTACCCCTCTAAAACCTCTTTTTTCTCTACACATAAATATGCTCATCTGTCTCTAGTTCTGTCTCATCTTAGAGCTAAAACAAACATCCTCTCATCAACATACACCCCTTTTTAGCTACCGTCCCTCTTGCCACTGCACAACATTCTCTCACCACTCAACCCACTTGAACCCGCCTCTGCCTACACCGCTGCCCTGGGGTTGCTTTTGCTGCTGTCACTAGAGGCCAGGACACACTCTGCAGGCTTTGTGTTTCCACCTGTGACATCATCCTCTACCTGTTCTGCCCTTGGGCCATATCCTCCATGGGGTCCTTCTACCCAGCAACCACCTCCATTCGGCTATCCCCCAGGCACCCCAAATAACGGATGGGACTCTGAAACTGCCCCAAACATGTTCCTCCTCATCATGGCCTCCTTCTCCTTCTCCTCCTCCACCACCCAGACACCTAACCCAGAGATTCTCCCTCCTAAATCCTACAGATCCCGCCTCTGCTCTTCACTCCCACCGGCCTTCATCATTCCGCACCCGGATTATAACATTAACCTTCTAACTGGTCTTCCTGCTCCTGCTCTCGAGTCTCTGCCCGGTTCAATCCCTTCTCAATTCTGATTCTCAAATCTGATGTCTCTACAACATTTGCCTACTTAAGCTCTCCCAGTACCTCCCCATCACCTCCTGGTTAAATTCCACATGCTCTGGACCCTGCTGCTTTCTCCAAACTTACCTCTTGCTTTTCCACCAGAAAATACCTACTCTTTGTGTCCGCGCCATGTTTAAGGTACCTCTGTGCTTTTTATGCATTCTGTTACTACCTCCTCCACTGTCTGAAGCCAGCAGTCCCTCAATGTCCAGGTTGATTGCCTCTGCTTCCTCTAGAAAAGCTACCCTGACTACCACCATCCCTGCCCTTTTGCATACCTCCGTCGTGTTCCTAAGAATAAGCCCTGTCCTCTAAGCAGGTAACAGTTTTACTATCATGTTTTAGGAATGGGCTTAACAGACCTGTAGCTCTTCTAACTATTCTCTATCAGAAAAGAAGCTTCAGTTAAGTTACATTTTAGTATAATACCTCATTTAACTGGTTTATACCCATAGTCCTGGAGAGCATCCACTAAATCATTCATCACAAACATTTTATTTTCAAGTTTCAGTGCTTAAAATTAGACAGGCTATGATGCCTTAATGAGACTTATTTTCAAGGCTGAGGTAAGCATTTGTTAACATTTACTTTCAAAATGTTCAAAATCCCTGCGGCAATGCTTTCTGCCCTAGAATGTTTATGGCCTTGGCTGTTCTTCTGGCCATGCATGAAATCACAACCCTCTATCTACTTTCCATAGAGATTTATTACCAAACAGAAATGAGACATCCTTGTATTTAGGCACATTTACCAATTAGCCTCCTCAGGCATCGTAAAGAAGCACGGTTAGCCCTGCCCACTACTAAAATCACTAGGTATAATAGACAACATGGTATAATAGGGTATATCATCTGGAAATGTTTTCAGAAAAAGAGTTAAATAGGGATACTAGGTATAATAGACAACATGGAATATCTGCACCCTGTTCCGTACCTGAGAGCATCAGGTAGGTCACAGCAGGCAAGAGTTGAGCCCTAGAATCAAACAACTGAGGTTGGAATTTTAGCTGCTGATTCTGGTCACGTGTCTTAGCTTCTTGGAACCCAGTTTCCTCTACTATAATGTGAACAAAAAAGTGGTATGTATGTCCTAAGATTTTTGTAAGAATTAAATTCTATACTATATTAGAACAAAAGATATTTAGAATGCCTTAGCACTTTAGACAGTATTTGCTCTTGAAATTGAATTTGCTTTACACAGTATTTGAAATTACCATCACTGCCAAAAAGGGTAATCCTAAATGCTCTGCTATCCAATACTTATCAAAATTTCAGACCAAAGAACTGACATTTACGAAAGACTGCCTAAAATCTATGTAGTCCATCCATTTCTTCAGATCACTTAGTCTCAATTCTGGCTATGCATCAGAGTAACATACAGAGATTTAAAAAAAAAAAAAAAAAGATACAAGCACACCTCAGGGCTCCACCACACTCCTGAGATTCCAATCCAATGGTCCAAATGTTTCTGTTACACAGGAGCCAGGCTGAAAACCAAAGCTTGAGGAACACTTCCTTGGGTAAGGTCCAGTTGCCACTGAGCTGTCCAGCTGTACTATGCTGGCTCTCTTTGGAACTGTGTTCACTGAACTGAGCTTGGAGACAGGCCACCTGCCTACCTTGAGTAACCTTACACATTAACTACCTTCTACAAAGTCATCTTTGAGGATCCAGGGAGGAAAGTTCTCTTGGGTCTTAGTTCCAGCCATGGTTCTGCTTTAATCTTATAAATAGTCATATAAGTGACGGTGTTTCTCCTCCTTACCTTGGCTGCTAGCAAGTTCATAACTCTGGCAAGTGAGGTGGACCTTAACACCTGTATTTTACTTTGTTCTTCCTTCTCTTCACCCTAGAATTCCCTTATTTTTCTTGTTTTGTAATATAGTTGTTTTTGTAAGTCATCTTAAGGCTTTTTTGGTAACAAGATAGAAGACAAAATTGATCACAGAACACATAACCCTGCTGCATGACTGCTGATTTGCTCTTAGACTCTCCATCTGAGCATGAGCCCATGGGAGGCAAGCATCAGGTCACTTCATTGGTTCCCGGCACCTTAGCATAACATGTGTTGTAGGTGCTCAGTAAGTGCTTACGTTTTCTCTCCCCTCTATCAGATAGCATTGCATACCTTAGCCACTCAAATTTATTTAGTTAATCCACGAAATACGATTTCTTGAATATAGAGCTGAAGATCAGCAATGCTAATAATGCCGAGGGTATAGTTTGTTCTCTATTGTCTTTTATTGCCAGTAAGAGCTATGGTTATGAGACCAAGCTTTTGCGAACTAGTCTAAGAACCTCAGCAGCATCTACTTCAATGAGAACACAACCAACTGATAAATACACTGTAAGTGATGGATACTGAGGAGACAGATACAACAGAAGCATCGATCTTTCGTGTGTTAACCGATACATCAAATTTTCAACCTACCTAGCTGAATCTTATTGAAACAGATTATCCATACCTGTCAGATCATTATTATCCCAGAGGCGCCGCTGCTCCGCCAGCTTTTGCATTCGTGTTTTCACGGAGGAGCCCGCAGCGGCTTCCAGTCTTGAGCTGAGCCCTCGCCTCACGCCTGGCACGGGTGCCGGGACAGCCTCCGCATCGCTGGCGGGAGCTGGTGCTTGTGGCTGCGCCTGAGGAGGCGGAGGACTCAAAGGACGGCATTCCGCCGAAGCTGACGCAGCCGGTGTTTCATTTTCCACGTCAGAAACTTCTACTTCGGTGTTGCCAGAGCAGTGCTTTTTGGATGGTGATGGTTTTGTACCAGATTTCTCTAGATTAAAAAAGACACCCCCCCCCCCAAAAAAAGTTCAAAATTCCGTAATTTCTCATAGCCTGAAAAACTAGCAGTAGGTACTTAACAAATTATTAAAACATGATGCTTCTCTATTCGCTTTAAATGATTTTCCTTATAACAAGAAATATGTAAAATTCTACCTTCAGTAACTTAGGAATCTGATATGAGAGATTTCTTTTTAAGCAAACATATAATTTATGGTTTAAAACACCCAAATGAAAAGATATTCAAATAATATTCTCAAGATATAGGCCTAATACTTTATGTAGTCTTAAGACACTAGGAAATAAAAAGTGCATACACATAGAACAAATGTTTTGAGTGATTTTGAAGATCACACAGCCCAATCACCGCATTTTTAGGTAAGGAAAACCAAGCCCAGAGCAATACATTACCTGCCTAAAATGACAGAGCTAAGGGTAGAAACAGGCTTTCTGTTTTTAAAACAATCTTTTATGAACAATAATAAGCAAGGTTAGAAGAGAACCTGGCTTGAGGTTTAGGAAAGGCAGGGAACCAAAACAGCCACGGAATTATCTGGTTAATACCAAGCCATGTGCAACCATGTGCACATGTGCAATACCAACCATGTGCAAAGCCATTGGCACAAATGTTTTCATATTTTCATAACATTTCACTTTTTTTTTTTAAGATTTTATTTATTTATTTGAGAGAGAGTGAAAGTGATCACAGAGGCAGAGGGAGAAGCAGACTCGCTGCTGAGCGGAGAGCCCGACACGGGGCTCGATCCCAGGACCCTGGGATCATGACCAGAGCCGAAGGCAGACGCTTAACCGACTGAGCCACCCAGGCACCCCAACATTTCACATTTCAAACTGCCATGGACACCTATAAGATAAATTAAAAAGTCCTAAAATAAAAAGGAGCTACCCAAATGTAAGGTATATTATTTCTACCCAAGAATGAATTTTAATATATCGCCTGGGAAATTAACATTTTAGGATATAGGAATGTAAATTACATGAGGCCAGTTTCCCTGGTGGTCTGACCCAGTGTTCTCGCTCTGGCAGTACCCAAAGTTCTGTTAAGTGGGAGCCGTGATTGCCCTCATAGACATCAATCTAATCAAATAGACATTATGAAACTTTCTCATCTTCTGTAACTCACTTATAGATCTCTTTTCTATTAACTCATCTAATAATTTTTTGAAAGTATTCCAATTTTAACATGCATCACCATCTGGAAATACAGAATTCTTTAAGTTTATAGTTCTCATATAAAACAGTAAATATTTCCACTGCAAAATCAAAACATAGCTGCAACCACTAGTTTTAAAGTACACAGTAATCAACATTTCATTGTATAAACCTGTGTCACAACAAAAACAGAAAAAGATTCTGAACTGGATCTAAGCCTCTATTTTCCTGACCAAATACCATATGTATATAATATATATACCACATATGCAATATATATGCCATGTGTGTCTGATACATATACCACATATGTATAATATATATACCATGTATATGTAATATATATACCACATATATATGTGATGTATATGGTATTCCCTCTCTTCAAAATGTATAAATATATGAAAATAAATTCCCATTCTCTAGTTAGCTTACAAAATAATCGTGAGCCCGCTCCATGCCCTCATCACTTTTGTAATACTGATTTTACCTTCTGTGATGCTCTCTTTCTGTATGCATTTTTAAATCTATGCTAAGGAAAATTATTATCTCCAGACTCTTCCACACTCCAGGAAAAGATTAAGGTGGCAACTTACTGATACAGGCTAGGGATGCCAGGATTTAGGAAAGAATAAGATAAGTTTCTAGGTGAGTTTAGGTTTGTTTGTGTATATTTATTTATTTTTGTCTAATTCACCAGTCCTTAGATTAACCGCCTATACCTTGAGCCTAGCTCTAGAGAGCTGGTTCAACAGAGGATGAAAAGGCTCATTAAATTTCAAGCATCTGCAAGCAGGTCTGCCTTTCGTTACCCTGCTCATGCCAGAGACCAACTGAAAACTTGGTGGTCAGCTGTTCTGGCACTGTTGGGGTAGATAAACTCCACACCACCACTGGGCACTGTTCCTCTGCTCCTTTACTTTTCTCCCCTTGGGGGTTTTAAGGATGTCTTTGGGTTGAGGAAAATGAAGTTCAAGCAATTAATTTGAAGTATTTATTAGATATTCTGCTCTGGTCTGGTAGGTCTAGGCCTAATACAATCAGCCTGAACTAGAACAGAGGGCTGATCTTTCCCCCAGAGGCTATTACTACATTTGTCTCCCAAAGACCTGGGTCTTTCTACACACACAGTAAAATGTTTGGGGCTTATCTCCTTTAAAAGACGCAAATTTTGTTTTTCCCCCACAAAGTCTTTTACCTTCACTACCAGGTAAGGGTTGTTGGTTACTTGCTTCTGAAAGCGGCTCTCTGGCCCTCTTGGCGTGAGTCACAGACCTTGCAGCTGCCGCGGGCCTCTCGGCCATCTTTCTCTGGAGGTTCTCTCGCCTGGCACGGGTTCGTTCCAGCAGTTTCTACGTATGTAACACAGCGGCATTAAAACACAAGTCTAGTCAAAAGTTCACAAAACCTGAGGTACCTTCTAAAATCACCAGTTGCCAGGTAAGGTAACAAATACACTTCAAAAGTGAAATCCTATGTAATTTAAGTCAAAATTTACCAAATAAGCACCCCAAAGTCAAAATTACTACAGATCCAACATGAATAAAATGTGTAAAGTTGGTTGTATGAGATTTAAAATGGCCAGAAGTTTTTTCTGCTTCCATCCAAAGGTAGAATCTATTTTCACAGCCTTGCATTGGGCTGGCCTTATGATTTACCCTGACCAACAGAATGAGGCAGAGGTGATACTGTGTGACTTTCAACCCTGGGCCTCAAAGGTCTTAACAGTTTCTCTTCTCATTCTCTTGGAACACTGCCACCAGGTGTAGAAGCCCAGGTCAAGTGTGCTAGAGACACCTGGCCCAGCTGAGAGCTAGCATCAACCACCAGACTTGTGACCATCCAGTCCCAGATCATTTGTCAGATCCCTGCAGCCTCCAGCATGACCCCAGGGGACACCACTGGAAACACAACCTCGGGTGAGCCCAACACAGATTGCCAAGCCACTGAATCATGAGAAATAATGCGGTGGTTGTTTTAAGCACTTTGGTGGCGACAATAAGTCTCCCAAAGATGTTCATTTCCTAATCCCGTCAACCTGTGAATCTGTTACTTTACTGGGCAAAAGGGACTTTGCTGATGTGATTAAGGGTCTTGAGATGGAAAGATTATCCTGGATTATCTGGGTGGGCCCAATGTAATCACAATTGTCCTTATGAGACAAAAAGAGTCAGGAAGGTCAGAGATGTGACAACAGAAGCAGAGCTTGGAGTGATGGGATTGGTGGCTCTGAAGATGGAGGAAGGGGCCACATGTCAAAAAATGCAGGCGGCCTCCAAAAGCTAGAAAAGGTGAGGAAACCGTCTTCTCTAGAGCCTTCAGAAGGAACACAATCCTGCCAATACCTTGATCTTAACCCAGTAAAATCCACCAGCCTTATGACCTTCAGAAGGTAATAAATATCTGTGATTTTTAAACCACTAAGAGTGTGGTAATTTGTTATAGCAACAAAACTAATACAGCCACTAAGATTTGGTATAATGGTAAATAGCAAGAGATAACACATATTTAGTCCTTTGAAAACATGACATTTCCTAAGATGACAAAAAAAAAAAAACACTAAAAAAAAATCCCATGTTTTATTTAACTCAATATCAATATATACTAAAATGATTTTAAGTTGGTATCTTAACCATTCCATAAACTCATGACTACTCTGTTCTTACCCTGAATCAACTAATGCTTCTATTCGAATAAGCGTAGTAGAACAAACACAAAACCCTGTAAAACAATTCTTTTTCTTTCAAAAGTACACAACTAAAGGAGGCATGCAAATTATTGGTTGGAGTTTCTTTGCCCTGCACACACAGATACAGTATTAGAGAAGACTAAGGAATTGCACTCCCATTTGACCTTTTTAATTTCCTTAATTAAAATAGAATAATTATTCTTTAAAATTCCTCTGAGTATGCAAAAGAAACATGAACTAAATTTGGAAGGTACAACTCTCCATTTTTCTTAGGAATGATTTCCTCACTATAAGAAGTGCGGCTAAATCTAAATGCCATGTCACTGAAAGAGTTAATTTATGAACCAAATGCCTCCCAAGACACAAGACCTTCAACCTTTAAATAAAGTCTTCAAACTCAAAAGTGATACATAAATTCATATATATCTAATTTCCCCATGATAAAATATATCACTCCCCAGATACACAACTAGACTAATTTTATTCATTCATGGACATGCCCACATTCCATTCTGGTCAGTTAGAGTACTTGTGAGTCAGTGTATCTTCAGTTACTCTGAGCAAGAGGTCGGTTACAAAAGAATGTGGCTTTGCCATTCAAACATACACAAGTACTCTATTGTCTATATTAGATTCAAAGATTTCAAAATTTAAAAAAAAATTGAAACAGAGAAGCAAAAGTTGCCTAGTCTATAAAATAAGAACTAAAGATTAATTTAAAAGAAATTATATAACTAAGGAACATAAACTCAACAGTTCAATAAATCTAAGTCTCTATAAAAATGCATCAGGAATTCAAGGGTTCTTTATAAGGTACATTCCTTCAAATATCACACCTCCTTCTTTAAATAATAGAGGCATAAAAAAAAACTACAATAACGTAACTGGGAAATAAGACATTCCACATGGATGAATCTAAAATAAATGAAGCTTTAGTCCTTAAGCAATTTCTGCCACATACACACCTGAAATCATTTCTGATAGTAATCTTTCTAGGAGGTATTACTGATTTCCCTACCTTCTTAAACAAAGTACACTCAATATAAATTATTATTTTCAATATGCTCTAACAGCATTCTTTCCCAGGTCAATACAGAGAGTTTCATGTAATTCTCAAAAATAAGAGAAACTCCATTCAGAACAATAACAGCATGTTTATTTATTGCACAAGAGAAGATGTTTTACAGACTATTTTAATTGTGGCTTTTTTAAGGATCCTACACAGAAAGCTCTGACTTAGGCACACCTCGCTCTGGGGTCCCCTATGACATTCTCAGTCTCAGACTCTCTCTCTCAAATAAATAAAATCTTTAAAAAAGATTAAAAAAAAAAAAGAAAGAAATGGCAAGGCAAGATTCAAAAATCAGGCTCCAGAGTTTGGGCTCTAATCAGTTTGCTATAAACCGTCTTTTAAATGGCTCAGTCCGTTAAGCATCGGACTCTTGATCTCAGTTCAAGGTCATGAGTTCAAGCCCTGCATTGGGCTTCACACCAAACTGTTTTTTGACTAAATCCAATTGTTCTTTTTAAGAACTTTTTGTCAGGAGAACTAACTTCATATTAACATAACTTTTTAAATGTTATCAGCTGATCATAATAATAAACATCTGCCTTAACTTGCTTGTTTGTGCATGAATCAAGATGGCTTTTTTATTTCTGGTTGGTCCAGGAAGAATATAGAAAGACACTGCCCTGTGGACCTTGTCTAGATCCTTATTCAAATTGCAAAACCATGAGACACTTAAGGAAATCTGAACATTGACAGAATATTTGATGATATTAAGAAATTGCTCTTAAATTCTTAGGTGTGATAACAGCACTATGATTTTTTTCAAGTGCTTAATAATAAATACTGAAATTATATGATCTCTACAATTTGCTTCCAAATAATTCAGTGGGAGGGACTGGAGGGGAATACAGTGAAACAATATGGCCATGTGTTGTTGCTGGGTGATGAGTCCATGAGGAGTTGTTATACTTGAGAATTTGAAATTTTCTACAATAAAGGAAAGAACATGGCAAAAATGTTCTAACAGTTACTGTTGTATATAATTATTTGTTTGTAAAGTAATTTGCACCAAATGGCTCTTTTCTTTATTATTTCAGCAGAATGTTATTGGATGTGCCTGATGTTAGGGAAACATCTCTCTGAATAGGAAAGAACAGGCCTGCATTCATAAAGCTGACAATCTGGCAGGAAGTATATTCAACAAGTAAATGCAAGTGAGAGGAGCACTGTGAAAGGTGATCCGCCCTCTGAGGAAGGGAAATCAGAGTGCGAGCTGGTGGTTAAATCAGTTTGCCAAGCAGCAGGGGCAGGGAGAGAAGAGTGTGCCAGAAAACACCAGTGTCAGCAGGAGGAGAAGCAATGCACAACAGCCTCGTTTGAGGAAGAGAGTGTAGGATGGTTGTACCTTTCTCAACTGGAGTTACCAAGAGAATTAGCCCTAATGCCCTGACATTAATGTAATGAATTAACATCTCTGCTATCCTTGTAGGATGGCATGGTTATGAATCACCTCTGGGAAAATTAACAAAATAGTCTCTCAAATCATTTTCTGTGGTTCTGATAAGGAACTCTGGTTGAGAAAATCACTTTAACTTATTTTCAGTCCTTTAAGACAAAGAACTGTACCAGTCCACTTCTGTGTGCAAAAATGTTATGAATGCTATAATTAAGCACCTAGTCATTGGAACCAATTCAAATAGTTCACTCATTACCAATTAAGGAAAAGATGTCAAAGCCGTTTATTCCAACTGCAACCGATCTTTTTATAATGTAAACCGTACATGTGTCTGAGCACACTGTAAAGCGAAAGCTTTCTTTCAAACAAAAGTTTCTTTCAGCTGAGATTTGTACTAGCTTCGGAATGGTATTTTCAAGTAAAATGAAATACAATTTTCAGCCAACTTTCAAAATGCTTTGTTCCTGTCAGCTACTTAGGAGAATAAAAAGAACATTTGGGACACATAGGGCTAATGTTTTAAGGACTCTTATCCTAGCTTAGGAACATAAAATATCCTTTTTAACTTCAAAGTATGTGAAAAATATTTGGTGCACAATCACCCCTATTCCTTAAAGCTAATACAAAAATGTGTTCTGGGTTTTCTGTCAGAATCCTTAAGTAAGGTTAACAAATTAATGTTTTCCCCTAAAAGATTGAGAATTTGAAACAAAAATAGTGTTATGTTTGAATACAAGTAAACTGTTAACTGTTGAAACTTTTAGCATCTTAGACTTATGGAATTGTAACTACACCTCCCAAAAAAGAGTAGAAAAAGTATTTCTACTCTCCATAGCATTTAAGTTTTTGAATCTAGCGTAGAGACATTTTTAGGCCCACTTTGCAACAACTCAAGAAATAACAGTTTGAAACTTGCACAACAACCTAAAGAAACAGGAACTGTCCTGGAAGAAAAGGAAGTGGACAACTGACAACACGAAAACTCCTAAGTATGTCCATGCACATTCTCAACAAGACTGCCCAAGGATAGAGAAATAATTGACACAATGACGCAATTAATCCACATTCATTTTCCAAAGGACAAAAGACAAGCATTGCTGTAATGTTATGCTCCATAAACACACACAAAGGTTTACTATTTCTTTACTCTGCTTTTTTAAATTGTCGGGTTTTAATTTTGTTTGTATATATTCGGCTAGCACTGTTTCCTTTCCATTCAAGTGTCAATCCCGGGGATGAAACTTCTTCCCTACTTAACTGAGTAATCAAATCTGAAGAAACCACTGACTCTGTAGGAACGGATGCAATGGTTTCGGGTATTGGCTTATTTTAACGTTTTGCTGTCATTTCGTTAACAGCATCTTTTAAATGCATAGCATTCTGCGGGCCTCATGAACCCCGCAAATCACATTCCATTTGCAGGCGGCGGCTGCACACAGCACTGAGTCATTCAAGCACCCGACTCCACCCTACACCTTATCCCCGCTTTCACTTCCAGCAGGATCAGTTCCGCCAGGCCCCAACCTCCCCCTCGGAAAGGACAGGGCTCCACTACAGAGGGGCGTTACAGTAATCGGGGCTGATAGCAGGCTTTTCGCTACCGCCCTTTAGGGCAGACTCAAAACTTTCCTCCCTGAGCTCCCACTGCAGGACCGTAATACGTAAGCAACGGACCCACCGCAGCCGCTCAGCCGGCTGCGTCCTCCCCCCACCCCCTTCTCCCCTACGGCTCTCCCAGGCAGACCCCCCGCACCCACACGCTGCGCAGGCGCGCGCACGCGCCCTCCGCCCGGTGGGCTCAGAGGTCGACGGAAGGTGGGAAAGGTTAGGGTAGGGGCCGACAGTGGCGATGGCAGGCTGCGCCCGCAAGTTTTCTCACCTCGGTAAACGGGTCCATCGCCCCGGACTTCGCGTGTCGATTGCAAGACGACGGAAACGGTGGTTCAAATTCAGAAAAAGAAAAGTGAGTTTCGGTTCAGTGTGTCACTTGGAGAAAACCAGAAGGCCGGGCCGGGGAGGACTCTCCCAAACTACTCGCCTCTGCCCCTCAGCCTCCAGTATCAGATTCGGCCTCCTGCGGCCGTTCAAATTTGAATTTCAGCGCCTGTACAGCGCGCCTGCGCGCGGGGCGGAGCGGGACACGCCTCTGCCCGCCCCGGCTCTCGGTCACGTGGCCGTGCCGGGCCGCGGGCGTTCCGCTGGGTAGCCGGCCTCCTGTCGGTCACACCCCAGCTCCGGAGGCCGGGATGCGGCGGAGGTGCGGCGCTCCCGGCGCTCCAGGCGCCTCGGGGCCCGAAGCCCCACCCCAGCGCTCGCCTGTTTAAGCTGATCCCTTGGAACCTTCCCGCCTTCCGTCATTCCTTAATACAGGATTAACAGCCCTTGTGTTTGAAATCCCACTGGCCTGGTGGCATCTGTAGCTTTCCGCCCGCCCCCGCGTCGCCCTAATGGGGACTGCGGGCTTGACCCTCACGAGGGGCTTCTCTAGTGTGGGTCCCCGGATAACTGGGGCTAATGACCCACCTCGGGCGCTAGATACCTTTCTCATTGGGAAGATAAGGCTATAACCTTAACAGACTGTGTGAAAAGTTCATACACAAAACTCCTGTGGTGCCTTTCTATTTTAAATCCCATCCAAATTTATACAGTGTTAGAGCTGGAAAGATGAAGAAGCCATCCACCTTGATGCTTTTACAGCCGAGAGCGGGGAGACCCTGAGACAAATAACTCTTGTCCAGGAGAAATGAAAATTCCATTCTCAGCTCATGGTCCTCTTTCCGTCACGAGATCAGCTGTGTCTCACGATTGTTCTTTACAGATTACTCGGAATTGTAAAATACATTATGTAATTACTGTATCAGATTCCTTTCTTCAGCAGGTGTGTGCTAGGGCTTGTAGAGACAACAGTTCTTGACTTGTTCAGCTGAAAAGCAACACCATGTAGATTAAGGAGTGACTGCCTAACGGCTGAACAAACCAAAACTATTTCTCCCAAGTAAGATGTTTTGGTATATTTAATAACCTTTCCATCTTAGCATTCAGTAGACATTACAAAAAGTATTTCACTAATAATATCTTTAATTTGAATTTTGAGCTATAGGTTGTAATAAAAAGAGTTCTGAGGGTGGAGTAGGAAGAAATTGCTTGGGATTTTGACTCCACAAGGACCATGTGACCTTAGGCAAATCATTTAATCCACTATTTTTAAAACCTTTTGAAAATATAGTTAGGGCGCCTGGGTGGCTCAGTTGGTTAAGCGACTGCCTTCGGCTCAGGTCATGATCCTGGAGTCCCGGGATCGAGTCCCGCATCGGGTTCCCTGCTCAGCGAGGAGCCTGCTTCTCCCTCTGGCCCTCCCCCCTCTCATGTACTCTCTCTCATTCTCGCTCTCTCAAATAAATAAATAAATCTTTAAAAAAAAAAAGAAAAAAGAAAATATAGTTAAAGCTGACCTAGAAAAACCCCCATTTAATCATAAAGTATTTGACATAGAATTTCATGAAGTTCATAGTCACCAAGTTAGCAACTTATGGTTTGGCTTCTCTGGATTTTAGTTTACTCATCTATAAAACAGGAACCATCAACTGCCCTGCATTCTTCAGAGTTGTTAGGAGGATCAGATGAAAAACTGAAACAGAACCAGAAGTATTCTGTAATAAGCCACTACTCAAGTGTTTGGTGTATCAAATTATTTTTTTTTTCCAAATTATTTTTAACTCAAAATATGCTACTTATGAACCAAAGAGGAAATGATGTTTGCATTTTTTTCACTGCTAGACAGGAAAGGTGTGTGTATGTGTGTTGGAGGGGAGGGAAGAGAGTGTTTTAAACAACACTGGAGAAGAAGTTATTAGAAATTTATGTAGTCAGTGTGCCTTCCCACTTTGGCTTCTGTGAGCCTTAGATTCTTTATAACCAGGTTCTAGTCAAGACTAAAAGAGATACATAAAGCACGTAGTACAGTGTAACTACTCCAAATATTTAATCTTCTTTCATAATCCCCTTATGTCTTTGGTCTTCACAGTGATAATGATGACGGTGAAGATGATAGCAACCACCAAAACAGTAGCTACAATATGTTAAACACCTCCCAGCTGCCAGAAACTGTGCTAGATACTCAAGTCTACTCACAGCCATTGCCACCCTAACTTGTCTCCTTTTCTCCATTCTTACCCCTGGTACTTCATTCTTCAGTTTATAAACTGGAATTAACTTTTCTCCTTTTAAAACTTGTCTTATATTTCCAGTTTACAAAAAAGTAATGAATACAACATAACCATGTACACACCACCTAGCTTAAAGAGATATATAATTTTATACTTGAAGTCTCCTGTGTGTCCCTTCTTAATTCCATTCACCTTCTGCTCCCCAGGGGTAAAACTATCCTGATTTTAATGTTTATCATTCCCATGAAATTTATGTACTTTCATTACATCTACATATATATCCCTAACAGTGTGTTGTGATCTACATAAAATTTTTTTACTATATGTATCTTTCTGCAATTGTTTATTTTTCTGCTCCATATTCTTTTCATGAGATTCATCCTCACTAATAGCTGTATTACTTGCAATTTATGTATCTACTATCCTGTTAATGGATGTTTAGCTCATTAACAATATTTCATTCCAAAGATTCCGTGATACTATAAATTTTTTTATGTCTCCTTTATACACATGCAAAATTTTATCTACAGTAATGTACCTAGGAATTACTTTGATAAATATATTTCAATATTATAGCCAGATATTAAAAATAAATTTAATCTTCAAAATGATTGTCACAATTTTTACTTCAGTCAGCAGTACATGAGCATGCCTGCTACTTCAGTGCCTCCCTAACACGTGGATACTTTATTTAGACTTTGCCATTCCTGTCTGGGTGCACTTCTCTTACTCCTGAACTTGAGCATTATTTTCATGTGATTATTGGTCTTTCAGTTTTCCTTTTCTGCGAATTTCAACTCTATATGCTTTGCCTATTTTTCCATGCAGTTACTTAGTTTTTTCTTATTGATTCATAAGCTTTTTGTTGTTTGTTTAGTATTTTCTGGAAGAATAACTATTTTTAGCTTGTAATTATCTTTTCTTAGTTTATGGTTTATCTTTTCACCTTAGGATGTCTTGGATGTAGAGAAATGTTTAATATTAATGTAATTAGATATATGTATATTTTCCTTTAGGAATTGTGCTTTTTATGTTTCAAGAAATCCTTCCCTACTCTGAGGCTATAAAGATGTTCTCCCATATTTTCTACTAAAATGTATTGTTTTCATCATTTTGTCTTTAAATTATCTGGTTTGATTTTTTTTTTATTTGGATAACCAAATGTCTGAGCAGCACTTTTTTGTCTATTCTTTCCCCACTGACCTGTAATGCCACTTTCGTAATATATCAACTTTTTATGTATATGGAGGTCTATTTTGGAGCTCTTTATTCTATTCTAGTGGTTCATTTGTCTATTCTTCTCCCAATATTAAACTGTCTTAATTATAAGTATTGATACCTGGTAGGAAAGTTAAAAATTAAATTGACTTGGCTAATTGACTTGGCTCATTTGGCTCCCTGTTTTTACAATGTACGGTCAGATTGTCAAACTCCACAAAGAAAAAAAATCCTCTTGAGATTTTTATTGGAATTGTACTGAATTTATCACATAATTTGGAGAGAATTGATGTCTTTGTTATATTGAGCCTTTCCATTTGTGAACATGGTAGATCTTCATTAATTTAGGCCTACTTCAGTATTTTCCAAAAATGTTTATAATGTGCTTCCCTACAAATCTTTAAACTGATTTATTCCTTTGTACTTTTGTTGTTGTTGCTACTTTTTACATATGATATCTTTTTTTTTTTTAAGATTTTTATTTTTATTTATTTGAGAGAAAGAGAGAGAGACAGAGAAACAGCATGAGAGGGGAGAGGGTCAGAGGGAGAAGCAGGCTCCCCGCTGAGGTGGGAGCCCGATGTGGGACTCGATCCCAGGACTCCGGGATCATGACCTGAGCTGAAGGCAGTTGCTTAACCAACTGAGCCACCCAGGCGCCCCACATATGATATCTTTTTATTTATTTTTAAATCATCACTGGTATGTAGGAACATAACTGATTATTGCAAACCTACTCAACTATCTTACTAGTTTTGGTAATTTATTTATAGAGAAGGATCTTTTTAAAATGTAAATTAAGCAGTGTCAATTCCTTATTCAGAGCTAGTTCATGTCTTTAATTGCAATTAGAATAATTTCCAAATTCTTTATCATATCTACAAGGCCCTAAATGATGTGGACTCTGTTTTCTTCTACAGTACTCTCCCTTTTTTTCACTAGGCTCCAGCCTCATAGGCTTTTTTTCTGGACAAAAAAAGACTAAATTCCTTTTTTCTTCAAGAATTTTCCACCTCCTAGATGCTGCTCCTCTAGATCTACCCATGTCTGGCTCCTCATTAATTGAGTGTGAGCTGGAACATACTACCTCCTCAAAGAAGACTTCCCTGTTTGGGTGGCCACACCCTTCCTCTCTGCCCCCTCTCCCTGTCACTTTCTATCCTATTATGCTGATTTATTTTCTTCATTGCATTTACCACTTATGTGGAATTTTTTTTTTTTTAAGATTTTATTTATTCATTTGTCAGGGAGAAAGAGAGGGAGAGCACAAGCAGGGGGAGCGGCAGGCAGAGGGAGAAGCAGGCTCCCTGCTGAGCAGGGAGCCCCACGTGGGACTTGATCCCCGGACCCTGGGATCGTGACCTGAGCCCAAGGCAGACGCTCAATCGACTGAGCCACCCAGGCGTCCCTATGTGGAATTAGTTTTGTTATGTATTTATGTTTATTATCTGTCTCTCCTACTAGAGTGTAAGCTATGGAATGGCAAGAACATGTCTTATTTATAGCTGTAACCCAGCACCTTCTGGGAACATAAGTTCAGTAGAAGTTTGTTGAATGAATGAGTATAAAATAAGTATTATTCCTATTTTATTTTATTTTTTTAAAGATTTTATTTATTTATTTGACAGAGAGAGAGAGAGACAGCAAGAGAGGGAACACAAGCAGG